GCGCGCGCGCGCGCGCGCGCGCGTGTGTAAATTAATATTGTTATGAAAGACATATTTAGAAAAACACAAATAATGCTTTTAAATATAGAAAGAGACAATATATTGATAATAGAATAATTAAAATATCAAATAGCACCCAGTAGCACCATTTTTTAATAAAAAATGATCATTAATATCACTGATTTAGACCAAATAATTTCAAAGCATTGAAAGCAGTAGCTAAGGCAACTTCTTCTGGGGTAATTTGCATAAATGCTGCTACCATTTCTACTATTGCTGGTAAGGCACATGGTTCATTACGCTGGAAAGTACAATAACGATGAAGAAATGTCATAGATCGTTCAGTTAGAGCATCTTTAACATGTACAGGTAATTTACTGGCTCTAGTATTAGGATACATGAATGGAGCATCTGTTTCTACTAATATTCTGTCTAAAGGTGCAAGTCTTTTTTCTAATAGTTGTCTTATTCCACTATCGGATTTATCTTTACACAAATATCCTGTGATTCCTAGGTAAAAACCGTGATCTAAATAAATTTGTGCTTCCTTTGCAGTTCCAATAAATGAATGGATTAAGACTGGTGGTAAGCAACTTTTATAGTGATTCAGAACTTCTAGAACGTCTGTCTGAGCACCTCTTTCATGTATTATAAGTGGCTTAGTTAATTGACATGCAAGTTCCACTTGTTTGTGAAATACAGCACGTTGTGTCTCAGGGTCAGAAAAGTCACGACTATAATCTAAACCGCATTCCCCTATTGCTACACATTCTGGATTATTAGCTATGCTTTCAAGTTCTTGTAAAGTATCAGGATTTTCCCATGATTTTGCATCATGAGGATGCACACCAGCAGTGGAATAAAGAGTACCAGGGTATATCCTAGTTAATCTTAATGCTTCTTTACTAGAACGGATACTTGCGCCTGTTACCATAATTTTTTGTACCCCTGCATCCTTTGCTCTTTGAATTACACTATCTAAATCTCTGCTATATTTTTTATTAGTAAGATTGGCACCAACATCGACTATAATATAATTCTCATAACACTGTGTCATAGCTAAGGAAATAGTTTTTTCCTCTGTATTTGATGCAGTAGTATTTTCAGCCATTCCTCAATATTTTACTGCAATATCTGAAATAATAGTAATTATTGTTATTGAAAATATATATTGTCCATTTTGAAAGATATATCAATATAAAAATAAAGTATTAAAAAAAAAAGGATAATACATATTAAATTTTATTACATGCACTTTCTATTAATAAGTTTATCTTTAATCAACATGTGTGTATATATGTATATATTGAAGTAATGATACAAAGAAAACAATGTATATGATTGTATTACTTAACCACGGTGATTGTAATATAAAGAACATAAAAAATTAAACGAAAACACATGCAATATAATTATAAATTTATAGTAAATATCAAAATATAGACATTTCTGTGGATACTAACAATAAAATACAACACGCATTGAACCAATTGTCTCCAATTAATCTGAGGTGTCGAAATTCGTATTTTTATAGACGATGTATATAATCACTTGGAATATATGGTTATGTATATGTATACATATAAAGATATTTTATTAAATTTGTAGTTTTCTTCTTCCAAAATTCCTTTTTTTAAAAATTAATGCAAGAGCATTACACATGCACAGTACTTGGTCGTACAGTAACAAACAATATTACTCGTGTACCCTAGACTACCCATTCGATTCTTTCAATAAGTTGATTTAAAGCGAAACACATGAACTTTTGGTACTGTTGAATCATACAAGCTGTTACTGTACAGACTATATGTGTCAGTCTTCCCACTGTTTTATACTTCATTTTATTATACATAATATCAGATGTAATATTTTTGCAATAAAATAAAGACATCTATTTTCATTCGTAATTCAAGATTCATTGCGTACATCAAGTAAAAGGATATTATGTATGTTCCGACAAATATATTAAATATCATAGAATAGTTTCGATACTTTCACCTTACATAAACTGAATTATACAACTTCATACTGTAATTGTTACAAGAAAGAATATAGCCTAAAATCATATTGCACAATACACGCGGGAAATATAATTATCATGAAGGTAACAATTTCATGACACATTTTTATTATTGCTTAAGAACATTAACATTATTATATACGTTATATTATATATTATTATAAATATTGAAATAGTTTATCATAGTTATCATTCATGTTAAATGAATGTTACTTTTAATCTTGTTTTAATTAAAATTTTGTTATTTTATTTTTTAATTTTATTTTCTAAAAACATGCATTATTTTTATATAATTATTTCTAGTCTGCAATTTATATATAAGTTAATATATAAGTTTATATACAAGTTAAGTTAATCTCTGGCAGAAAAGAAAAACGAGACGTCAACTTCTGGCTGAAAAAGAAGCTATTGCGAGAAGCTTGGTTAATAAAGCAAATTCTGTGGAAAATCCCTTGGAATCTCTAAATTTTTTCCATAAGTATGTGACAAAAGATAATCAAACTATTGAGCTCTTTTGTGTAAAAGCCAAAAATGCACAGTCTAAATGTATTTTTTGGATATTTGATATTATGGAGCGCAATATGAAGTCTTTGTATGAACAAAGTGATTGGGGTTGGGATCCAATTGCTAAGCAAAAAGAGTTGACAGAGCCAACAGCTTGGTATTTAGTAGCAACTTCAAATGACAAATTTGTTGGATTTTCTCATTTTCGGTTTGATATAGATTACAGGGAAGAAGTACTGTATTGGTATGTAGATTTTATATTTACAAAAGTCATATTTACAAAAGATGATCGACTTTATTTTATATCTTTTTATTTTTAAGTTATGAAATACAATTGGAATCTGCAGTACGACGAAAAGGACTTGGCCATTTTATGATGTCTGCACTTGAATCTATGGCATCAAAAAACAAGATGCGTAAAGTAGTTCTGACTGTTCTTAAACATAATCCATCTGCTATGCAATTTTTTTATTCCCTTGGGTAAATAAAATACAATTCTTTATAAATATATAGATATAATTTTATTATGATATAAAAAGTTCAAACTATATAATAATTAATATAGGGAAAATAGGTATCTATACTTTCAACTTTATTACACATTTTTTAATATTTAGAATACATACAGTATAGTTGTATAAAATTACATTTTCTAAAGTAATAATACGACTAGCACGGAAATGTGATCTTATAAAAACACACATTTTGTTTTTTGATACAACTAGGAGAATGTGTCTTTGTATTTTTACATTTGTATTCGTTAATTATCAACTAAATGTTTAAACAAAGCTCTAAAAAGTCTAAGATATTAAATTAAGAAAATATAAAATATTTTATATAAAGACAGTTTTCATATGTATTAGAAATTTCATTATTAACGAAGTTAAATATATAAAAATAATAGTTTCCACTGAATAATTGTTTCAACTGATATTTTTACAGCTACAAAATGGATAAAACCAGTCCGTCAACATCTGATCAATTGGATTATATTATTTTAAGTAAGACCGTTGATAGTGGAACAGGGAACAAAAACTTAAATTCATTTCAATAAATCCAAAAAATTATTAAACTCTATCTCTAAGATTGTATCTTATGAAATAAAACTGGTAATATTTGGTGTGGACATAAATTAACAATAGGCGATTTCAATGATGGTCCTACATTGTGGAATGTAAGAGGAGCTTTACTAATAACCCAATCATCTATATAATTAAGGAACTTTGTTAAATCAACCTCTACAGATTCAGAAACATTGAAATAACGTAAATAAGAATTGTCATTCCAACACATATCTAAAGCTGCTTGATGTAAAACCATTCCAATACCTTTACCAGCTCCTTCAGGAATAGGAAATACTCGAAAACTAACAACGCTTAAATCGGCAGGAAAATCATAACGAAGTGGAGAGAAATGTGCATTTAAATTAAAAGGTAAAGAATTATGTGGATGCATTGCAATTATAGGATGCAATAATTCTTCTGATGTTAAATGACCATACAATGATAATACACCTGATGGATGATTTGGTGGCGTTGAAGCTGTACAGAAAGACTTTTTCTTTTCAAGAACGAACATAAATATATGATTTGTTAACAAATTATCAGTTATGCCCTGTCCAAGTCCTCTGTTGTCATCTTGAAGTAATCTTCTATCTTGCATTATCTATGTAAAAATATTTTATATATTGTAATATCACTATGTTTTTATATGAATAAACGACATATGGAATACATACTTCAATTTGTCCAGATGCCATAGAACTTACACCTAGTGGTTGTGCTGTTACAACTGTTAACCTAAACCTTTTATCTTCTATGTATGTACTTGCTGCCATCGGATAATAGTTCCCTTGCATAGGAAGTTTTGGAAATCTTTGACGTTTGATCATCTAGCAATAATAATTATTGCTTAGATATGATTACCGGAAATAGTATATTTTAAACATTGTTACTTACATTAAGGCCATTTAGATCTGTATAGAATTGGTCTCCCGAAGCTATGTCTGTACTTAGTCTCATAGCAAGTTCATAATTTTGAGTTTCTGATATGTTAATTTCATTATGAATGTGTAAACCAAGTCCATCACTACCAGGAGAATTATACAATATACAAGTGTGACGCACATGTGCAAATTCCACAAATACTTTGGATACAATGGGTCCAGTTATTAAGTGTATAATACACTTATTATCTATGTATATTGAATCTGGTTCTGATTTGTCAGGCAAAAATAAATAAGCTCCACTTTTATCTTTACCGGTACCTCTGGTACCATATTTAACAAATTCTAAATGAACGGGGACTGTTGTATTACTAACTCTTAAAGCTTTCAAAAGACCTGACTTCCCAAAAGATGCAGATAATTCTGGTCGTTGCGTAATCGAAAATTCTTGTGCATTTGGTACCATTTGAATTTGATTAAAACCTGGTATTTTTGGGAGATTTATATCTGTATTAAAAACAGTTATGTTTGCAACATGCACTTCCCTGCATACAATAAACAGTAAAAGTTTGTGAAAATAAATATTTAATAATTTAAATAATAAAATAACGTACGGTGGAAACGTTGATTTCGGCAAAGCATGAATTATATATGTTGTAATACCAAATCCAGGTACGGTAACTAAGAATGATAACTCGTATCTAGCAACAGTTAATGCAGCAGGTCCAATCCAGATTGGAGAAAGTTGACATTGCACTGGTTGCCCCATACGATCAGTAACTTTAACAAATGGAGTAGATACAACCAATGTCTGTACTTTTGTTCTTTGTCGTGGAATGGAATTATAAAGAATAACTTTTTTTAAAGGACTTTCGTCCCTTAATATTATCACATGTTTGTCTCCTACACTAGTATGGCGTAATCTAAAGCATAAAAAATGAGTCTTTTACATATTCAAGATGAATACGAAAATTGTTTTTAAACAATATTCATAAGTTTCTCCCAAACCTAGATTCATCGAGTGAAATATATACAGCATCTACATTAACAGAAGATTCTTGTGGAGTTTTTAATAAATGAACTGTTGACTGTTGCAATACATGTGCAGAATTATTTAAAGCCATTATCATCTTCTTAGCATAATCTATAACAACCTCATCTCTGGAAGTTCCAGTAATACCATCATGATGTTGAAATAAAGAATGCCACATTCTTGCTTTACTCAAACGTTGTGCAAGAGTACCTTCCACTAAATTATCATTACCTTTGGTCCAAGCAATACTAGTTAATATTTCTGATGCTCTCAGTAAACTTAACAATACACGATCTAATCGTTTATGAAAAGGCCTAAAACATACTTGATAAACATATTGTTGATAATTTACGATTAATTTTAATTTGAAAATACCTTGATGTATAATATCCGCTCCAATAATGGTCATCTCTATCGGAATATGTGAAAAAGTCACCAGATAAAGTAGGAAATTCATTTAAATTATGTTTTTCCCTAATTGCATCAAAGTAATCGCTCAATGTCCCGAATTTAATTTGAACGTTCAATTTTTGATTCTGATTCATATAATCGAAAAGTTTTTGATAATTTTTATACTGAGCATCCCACTCAGTAAAATGAGTATATCTGAAATCATCTCCTAATGGTGCTAATACCACATCTGTTTTAAACAGTTGAGCTTTCTTACGATACTGATCCAATAAGAGAGCAGCTCTTTCTGCAACATTTGATTTAGTTATGGCCCTTGGAGCTATTTTCCACGGACAACTTAGTCCAAAATTTTGTAGTCTATAAAAATCAAATTGGCAACATATTTTTGGATCTGGGCCACAAGTGTGTGGTATGTCGTAACTATAAAATGGCATTACATGTGTAAAGATTTCTGTTGATCCATCATTATCCCATAACTGCCTCCAACGAAATTCAAGTTGCTTTCGTCTAGCTAATCTTTTTTTAACTGAATAATGAACTCTTTGTATCAGTATATTTTCCAATCCTGCTTTTTTTAATAGATATGGCATAGTTGGAGAAAGACCAAATGGATCAATAGCCCAACTTGATTTGGGTGTATAATCTAAATTATATTTTAACCATTGATGTCCCTCCGTGAGTTGCGTTAACTGAGACATCCAGTGAGAAACGGATTCATCTGGCATGACCCAACCTCCTGTTACAATTTCTAACTGACCATCATGAATCAAACGTTTGACTAAGTTACGAGTTATCTTAGACTGATCTTCCCACCAAAGTTGAAAGAATGATATTTCTGCCCAAATAAATTTACGTCTTCTGTCTTCTGCTAATTTCATTACCATAGTGTTCAATATATTTTGCGTTTGAAATGCATAATACTTCTCAAAGGTACTAAGCCAACCAGGGTCATTGTGAGAATGTGGAACAACAAAGACTTTTAGTTTTCTATTCGGATGCCATTGTTTCTCATCGTATGTGATGTCCCATCCTTGTTTCCACACTCCACCATCCACATTATCAAATTCTAATTGTCTGTATACTTCCAACATTTGAATGTCTACTTCGGGAACTTTTTGAATATTAAAATTACATTTAAGTATTTTTCCTAAATGGGAAGAACTGGACGATATAGAATGATTGGGACGATTTATAGAATAGGCTCTACGCACGAGATGTTTTACTTCAGCCACTTCCTTTAAAGCATTCATAACTTCATGGTGCTTATTGAAGTCCTTTTCTAATTTTGTTAATCTATTCTCAAAGTGCAGCCATTGATTCTGAGGGCACAGAACAATGAGTTATTTTTGCTTATTATATATAATAAATTATAATCTATGCGCATAATTAAATGACTTACATCCTTAACAGAGAGTTTAGATCCTTGACCAGGTGGAAAGATCGTTAAATCCATTATTAAATACATCATAATACAACAGGCAAGAATCAAGCCTGCACTGAGAAATGCTAGTATTTTTCTAGTCCTCATTTTGACACATTTATTTAAATATATTGTCGTTTTAAGACGAATTAAATTATTGATAACATCGAAGATAAGATTGAATCTTTTAAATTTTGAGAGAGAAATATCGACGACTTTTTAATACAAAAATTGAAAGTTAACCTTGTTCGAACGTTTATTTTCAAAATACACATTAATTTTATTTCAATAACATGTTTATTTAAAAAAAGCAAGTGTTAAAGAAATATAAAATATCATTTCATTTGTGTAACATGAAATTCATATAAAATAATACATCAACTTTGCATTAACCATCAACACTGCATTCCTTTGATCGCACTTGCGTTCATACATTCGCTTGCAACTGCCACCATATGTTTACGTTGTATGTTAGCTAAAAAGTAATGTCGAATTTTTGCAGTAAACGGTTCTGCTTTTCAATAATAAACACCGTATCTAATCTGTAATATTTTCGCATGATACAAGACACGATTACAAAAACGAACCAAATTTTTGAAACAAATTATTGCAAAAGATAAAACATGAATATAATTTACTGAAATGCAATAAATACATGAAATACGTTAAAAATACATTGAATACAATATATTATAATGATAGAAATTCGAAATAGTGAAACAATGGAATTGCATAGTTGCAGAAATGACGAAGATTCAAAGATCAAAGCAACCGATACATTCTTTGATAAAGTTTTGTATATCTGAAAAAAAGTGGCTAGCATTTTCTATATGTATATTCATTTCTGATAGAACACTTAAGGAAAACCTTATTTGTACTTTTATCAATTATTAATAATTCCAGATTAAAAAAGAAAAAAAATATTCGAACTGGAAAATTTGGTACTACATTTGTGAAAAAAATTTTGTTACAAACGAAATATACGATATGTAAAATCGAATTTATTATCGATAATATAAACAGCTGTGTCATTATCGATGTATTGAATATGGAATATGTTTCTCTTGGTTTGTAGTAACTCATGCTTCTTACTCATCAAATATGGCCACCTGAAATGCAAAACATGACTCAATAAAATCGAAGCGGAATAAGCAAGTTGTTACTAATTCAATAATATACATGATTTTGCATTGTGCCGTGTGCTCCTCCATAGGCTACGATTCATTTGTGCTTCTCGTGTTCGTAATAATAAGACACTTTGCGTTACAATGAACAAAGATTTCACAGATATTTGTATTTACAAAAGTATAGAAGATGTCCAGTTCAAAAAGTTTATATACAACAAATTGTTGCCTTACGCAGATGACTTAGAGGCAGAATCGCAGGCTTTATTAGCTGAAATTAAGGCAAATTTAGGACGTGCCGTTATGATTAATGAAACATGGCCAGGCTGCTACATATGGGTTACCAAATTATGTCAGTAAGTACAATATTTTTATGTTGCTGCAATATTTGAAAGAAGGCGACAATTACATTTTAATTATACTGCTTATTTTAGAGATGTATATTTATAATTTGGATTCATAAATATTTTTTCTAGTTACATAAACATATACGGATTTCACTTTAACAAAGAAGATCACATCTTGTTTATAAAGTTATTATATGAACTGGTTACACTTTCAGAAATACCTACAGCTTCTACATTTAAATGTCTTCTTGCGTTGCTAGTGTTATTAAAGTAAGTCAACTGAAATTATTATGTCATAAGAAATAAATTTCTTTATTATTTATAGTATATGTGCTTTATAATTATAATAATATAATATATACATATGTATGTCATATATGTATATATATATATTATATCATTTATAATATAAATGCTTTAATATATATTTATAGAAAAAAAAAATTAATATCTCCTGATGAACTGGAACTGCCATGGCGGCCTCTTTATAAAATGATCCTTCGTATAATGAAAGCAAAAGAGACACGTCCTGAAATGTGTCATATTTGTAATTTTTATGAAACTGCAACAGAATCACTTATTATATATGCAAAAGTTTATTTTCCTGTAAGTGAATATTTTTCTTAACAAAATTAACAAAAGAATAAATTATTAATTCATTATAATAGTTGAGTGCGACGCAGGAGATATTAGATGAACTGAGACCAACTTTATGCCTCTTTAATGTTGTAACAATGTCTAAAAGTATACAACTATTACGATGGTTTTTACCAGTACAATTACCTCCAAAATACCATTCGATTGGATATCAATTATGGTTTGAAGAATTCATGATATTGTGGGAAATGTGTCATAATGCAGCAACGTGGGAAAATAAAATGATGGAATTAATAGCAGCATTAGCTAATTACAATATTGGATACATTAATTGGGAACCTTACATACCACTAATGTTTACTAGATTTATGCGATGCTTAAAATTACCAGTATCATATAATAAAATACAAAGACATAAACACCATGAAATGGATGCAACTTCCATAACAACATGGATAGTAGCAGTTCTGGTAAAGTTTTACTGCAAGTCATACAGTATGTTTAAACAAAATGTCATTTCATATATTTTTTAATGTTTCTAGGGGAATGGATCAAGTGCTCAAACGTACCTTGATAAATTTTTGAAAACAATAGAAACATATTTTCATCCTGCCAATAGTGGTTGCTGGTTGGGCATATTGAAAGAGATTCTTATAAAGCTTTCATTTTCTTTTGTTACACGTTTGCATAAGTATGAATCAACAAAAATCAATTTTTATGAGCATTTACAAGTTCATAATGTTACATTATATTTATATTACAGAGAAAGATACGCCAAGCCAACTTGGGAAACTTGTATTCCCGAAGAATATAAATTAACCGATAGTGATGTCGATGCATTTGTCAAAAGTATGTTGCCTGTAACTATGGCAGCAATGTTTAATAAATTAAGTGTTACTGATGCATCATATGCATTGCAATATCTTGCTACTATAAGGCCCAATTTGGTTATTCCATATGTTTTGGATAGAGTGTCTTCTACATTAGACATGTCTTCTGTCACAATAGAATCATATAAATTAATTGCCACATTGAATTGTATGGAAGCTATAGCTAGGCCAATGGCAGAAGGATCTAAAAATGTGAATGAAGGTGTGAATTATTCTCTACTGATTCTCATTTTTTCATAATTCTCATTTTGCATTCTTATAAATTATAAATTTCTTTTGTAGACTATACGTACCCAGAAGGTCCAAGACATATTTTACCACTACTTTCTCTGCTTCTGTTTAATATCGATCCAAATAATCCAGAAAAATGCTTTTTAGCTTTCCGCCTTATTTCAGTTTATGCCTGCTACATACCTATTGTGGATACTTCTAAACCAATCGCGACAATAGACGAAGAAGAGAGATTAGATTATGAAACAGCTTCTGGATTTGAAGATTTCGTTTTACAATTTTTGGACAAAATATTTTCGTTTATAGATCACAGTTCTTTAGAATTGGTGAGATTAGAAAATTCTGCTGGTGGTGAGAAGAGTAAATTAGAAAAAGTCACAGAGACTGTTGTGTATAATGTGTGCATGGTCCTGTTAATGCAGATTAATGACGCGATATTTAAAAAGGCCTTAGATAAATTATGCACATATATAACTGAACGTATACTTGAAATTAAAGTTGCTGGGCAGTTGGCAGCTGGTTTGTGTCGAGTATTTGCCCAAGTTAATGGCAAAGAAACTTTGCAAACGTTATTACCTGTACTTTCACAAACTATCCTAGATATCACTGGCGAGAGTAGTGATATTATTAAGGAGGAACATGTGGACGACCGTCTTTTACATGCAATGTTGCTTTTATCTGCAACTGTTCATACAACAGGGAACAATTTACTATCTTATATAGATACACTCATAACAGTTCTCGATCGTGTAGTAATATTAAACTCAAGGGAAGGAAACAACTTAGCTTGTATATTACTAAAAGCAATTCTTCAATCACTATCCAGTGTGGTACCATATCATTTTACATCTACTGAAGGAATGAGATACTGGGGTCAAGTTATGGATATTAATACTTTAAAAGTTAAATGGTACATACCTGGCAAAGAAGAAATGGCTGCAATAAATCGAATATTTTTAAAATATCTAATTCCTGAAGCAAATAAATTAGAAACATATTGTAAAGATTGGACCACATTAACAAGGTTAACTGTCACTTCTACAATATTTAATGAGAGTATTCATTACGTATCGGTAAGATAAATTTATGATACATTTTCAGGGAAGAGTTATTGACCAGCTTGAATATTATAAACAGCGTTATTGAAGGTTGTGATTCTGTTTTACCCACATACGAAGGAAAACCACTAAATTTAATAAAATCGTCTTTAAAATGGCAACCTTTCAGGCTAATACTTGGTATGAAACGTGAGATATCAATGCCTGACGGTAGTAATGTCAAACATTACATTGGGACACTTATGAGTAAGCTGCAAAATGTAATACTTGAGAATACCGAAGGTGATACGAAAAGTTTATTTGTTTTGATAAAGGTATTTACTATTACACCAAGTAATAAGTCAGTAAAGAGTATTGAAGAGTATTCAAATTTAGTTTTCAATTTTTAGATTTGGGGTTATCTTTTACTTGGAACTGCGTCTGTTACGAACACTATTGCAAAATACAAAAATGTAGAGAGTGCGCAGAGAATAATGAGGGATATGTTAGTAAGGAAAAAGGGAATAATAGGATCCTTTGTACTGCTACGTGCGGGTGTTCAACACGGAATGCGTGCATATTCACAGATTTTTAATTTAACTGAAACTCATAAAGAAATAATGTTAAAATTATTTACACTAGCTACTAGCAGGTATTCTGGTGTGCGATATCAAGCTCAATACATCCTTTCTCGGGCTTTCCATTATTTATTGTTTTCGTGCAAAGTTATTGTTCCAAAATTACTTGACGCGTTGAGAGAGGATCCGGAAGCGGATCACGATGCGTACGAGGTAAGAATAACAACAACCGTAAAAAGCAACTTTAATAAATTTTAATAAAATTTTTGTTAATACTTTGTTCTGTCTTACAAAGGGAGCTTTGAATATTTTACTTGATTCTCAAGAAACTATTATGAAACACGATCGGAATATAATGAGAGATTTATGGACGACTCTGGTACTTTCTAAACCATGTGAAAAATTATCTATAATTCGCTTGAAAGAGGATATTGTCAAAATTATAAGTAAACAATTTACAACGATCGCTATTACATTTGAAATACCAGATACATGTTTGGAATTAGCAACTGCTTTATGGAGTACTAATCCTCAACCTAATTTACCTCAACCTACAGAGGATGAAATCGCGGAAGGTTTAAAAATTGCTCGAACGTTTAATGAAAGTAATTTGGCATCCTATAATGGCTTGGTAAATGATTTGTTAAGTGCACTGTTGGAAAAGAATTTACATTGGCGACATCGTTTGATGGCGTTAGATTTTATTCGATATTTGGTTCACCCAGAACAAATTTATCCGTCAAAAGTAGTTCGCTACTTTCTAGAAACATTGATACACACGTCATTAACTGAAAGAAATATTGCTCTTCGAGTAGTTATATCTATGTTGCAACAACAAAAAAGAGAACATCCAAAGGTAAAGTACATTAATAAAAAAATTTACTTCGCAAATGATTTTGATATAATTTAAACATAAACTTTTGAATTTAAAGATAACGATTGATGCACCAACGTTACCAGAAAATCAATCTGTGAAATTCGTAGTAGGACGGAGGCTAGATAATTCTTGGCTTCAGTATAATTTCGAAACTCGTCCGTTGACTGCAGAACAGTGGGATGAACCTAGATTTATTCACAAGCCACATGTAGGATATTACACTTGGCCAAAGAAAATTGAAATGTACGCGCCGACGTCTCAACAACCGTGTCTAAATCCAGACACACGAGAATTAACAGATTACGAGAAAGAGGTTGATCTCTTTTTTAATAATTTGCAAAATATCGAAAAACTAATAAGATTTTATAGCCTCGAGACGAAAAAGGATAAAGACAAATTTAGTTTCTATAGATACCGGTTTTTTAAAAATCTTTTCCGTAATCACGGCATAGTATTTTTTAAAAATTTTTTGCCGCATTTGTACAAGTTAGTAAAGGATAAGCAAGAAAGTGATCATAAATGCGCAGCTGAAATTATTGCGGGAATTATCAAGGGTTCAAAGCATTGGCCATTTAATATGGTTTGTGAAATGTGGGATTCTTTATTGCCAGTTATAAAGCTCGCCTTAATTAATATGACGCCAGAAACTCTTGCGGACTGGGTCCTCTGTTTCTCTACAGCTCAACAACATAGAGATCCAAATAGACAACATTGGCTATTGGAATGTTTGATGGAAGAAATTTGTGTTGGTGAATCAGAATCATCCTTTATTGAATCGGGACGATTGTTTATTTTACAAACGGCTCTTGCTAAACAATCATGGCGTGTTTTGGAGTTATTGCAACGTTTGTTGAAACGGATAGAGGATAGATTACTAGAAAATCCATTTGAAAACGTGAGGGAACGACTGAGCTCTGTTTTAGTAACAGTGTTCACGAACTATAAAACATCGAATAGTCAGTCGATACCGCAAATACAAGATTTCTTAGATAAAATAGTGCCGAAATTACAACCTCTTGTAGATGAGAATGCAATAAAATTCAACAACGATGTAAAAAATCCACCTGTGCATGTATCTATTGTTAACTTGAACGATTTAAAAAAAATAGGAATAAACGAAGAAGAAAAAGAAAGAGCAATACGATTACTCAAGACAATTTGTAAATGGATTGTAAATATGAATTGTGCATGGTACGGTTTACCACCAGAACTGTATCAAATATTCCCAATTATATATCAGATGGAAAATTGCGAAACGGACGAAGAATTGAAAAAGTCGTGCACATCTGCTTTAACAGTATATGCACAAGCATTCACATTGCCGTGTAACATGTCAATAGCTATAGAAGCAGTAGAAAAAATGTCAAAACACATATCTTGGTGGACAAGATTTTCTTGCTTGGAATTTCTTCAGGCTTGGGTATTTTACAATATGTATATATTTTTAAGTAATCCAGCATGGGTTAACTTTGTTAAAGATATAGTTTTACGTTTATTGGAAGATGAACGAGTTGAAGTAAGAAAAAATGCTGGCAAAGTCCTTAGCGGATTAGTCCATTGTATGTTTATACCGGAACAAGAACATTTATTGGTGAATATATTTGATATATTTTTATTTCTAATTATTTACAATAATCATATTTACAAGCGTCCTATTAATTTTTCAGGAAGAATTTAAGAAAAAAGCAAAGACTAAGTTATATAAAAAGGACACTTTGAACTGTAATAAAGGAGAAACGAAAAAGAATATAAAATCTGACGCTTTACGTATTCGTCATGCAGCTATAATAGGAATGTGTGCCTTTGTACAAGCTCATCCATATGACATACCAAAATATGTTCCTCCAATTTTTGAACATCTTCGTGCTCATATGAATGATCCACAACCTATACCAGTTAGTATAAAATAAATTTGGAACCACAGCTTATACCAGTTAATATAAATCTTTAATATAATTCATTAAATAATAAAAACTTCTCTGAGTTACAGATGACAATTAAAAAGACGTTGGATGATTTTAAGAGAACTCATAATGGATTGAAAGGTGTGAAAGAGTATACCCAACATTTCACAGAAGAACAGTTGTCTATATTGCAAGATTTAATAATGCCACCATCCTATTATGCCTAACAGGAAGTTAACATTTTTATTATATAATAAAGAATTTTTTTAGCAATAATAATATAAAAGTTGTGTATAGATGTTTAACCAAAAACTGATAATGCGCTATGAAGATATACAAAATATAAAATTATACGAAAGGGGCAATATATTTATTTATTTAAAGTTGTCTAAATATTTGTGCAATTCTACAAAATTATTGGTCTTATTGAGGCAACAAAATCGTATATTTTAATTAAACTATATATTGTATGCGTGTATAATGATCTATGAAATTTCATGCAATAAATAAAAATCATTTAATTAATTGGATTAATTTTTACTTTTATACTCATTAAATATTTAAAAAATTATGTTATATTCTGCAATTATTACTACATGTTGCTTATGTAAATATACTTATGTTGCATATAAAATAATATTTGTAT